GGGAACTCATTACAGTCAGAAGCAGTCACGGATAAAAAAGTCAAAGAATAGTGGTTACTTTTATGGGGAAGAGAGGAGTAGCCCTTTGCTAGAGGTACAAAGGCAATTTCTGGAATGCTGGCAATGATCGTTTTTTTTTTGGTTGCGCTGCGCCGCTTGTGGGATCTTAGTTCCCCGACCAGGGATTGAACCCGAGCCACAGCTGAAAGCGCCAAGTCCTAACCACTGGACCTCCAGGGAATTCAATGATCTATTTCTTGAATGAGTGGTAGATACTTAGGTGTTTGCTCTGTGATAAATCATCAAACTGTAAAAATAAAAATAGGGCTTCCCTGGTGGCACAGTGGTTGAGAATCTGCCTGCTGATGCAGGGGACATGGGTTCGAGCCCTGGTCTGGGAGGATCCCACATGCTGCAGAGCAACTAGGCCCGTGAGCCACAGCTACTGATCCTGCACGTCTGGAGCCTGTGCTCCGCAACAAGAGAGGGTGCGATAGTGAGAGGCCCGCACACCGCGATGAGGAGTGGCCCCTGCTTGCCACAACTGGAGAAGGCCCTCGCACAGAAGCAAAGACCCAACACAGCAAAAATAAATTAATTAATAAACTCCTACCCCCAACATCTTCTTTAAAAAAACTAAATAAATAAAAATAAATAAAAATAGAGATTAAAAAGAATTTTAAAAATTTTCCAAAAAAATCAAAATTCCATATAAAACTGATTCACTCATTCAAAAAAAAAAGAAGCAGTCATGGGCAGCTCTAATTGCTAACGAAAACATTAAAATCCGTGTGCCAGGCACCTTGCATGGGGGAGAAATTCTTCAATATGTTGAGCCCAAACCTTCCTCCCTGCCACTTCTTCCTCCTGGGTCTGTGTGTTCTGTCTTTGGAACAACACAGATTGTATCTGTGGTTCCTGCATTTCCAGACAGCCTCACATATATTTGAAGACAGCTATGAAGTTCTCCTTAGACTTTCTTCTTCCCTGTTTATTCAATCTTTTCTCATATCTCATTCCCTATGTGAGATTCAGTTTTCTTATAAACAAGCTTTTGTTTTAAAGTGCACATGTGGGAGGGCAGCGCATTAAGCTTCATCTGATGCTTCCCTTCCATCAAACTGTCTTGAGGGAAAGGAGTGGGGAGGGTGCTGAGAACAGAAGCAGTTGGGAGCATGGTTCAGGTGCCAGCCCAGGCTTGGAGAGGGTGTCCATGCAGTATCTCGGGGTAGGCAAAAAGCAGCACAGGAACTCTGAGCTCCTGAGACTAAGAAAGGGGACGTGCCAAGAGCTAAAAAATAGCAAAAGTGATGAACACCTGTTGAGCACCGACTATATGCACGCTGGGCACTTAGCTTGAATTGCCTGGCTTAATCCTCACAACTGTATCACTAGGTAGGTACCGCTATTATCCACATGTTATAGATTGAGTAATCCGAGGGCTAGAGCAGGGAAATAACCTGTCTAGAAAACGGCAACCAGGTTCTGCAGCCAGCACCCTAGCCTTTTCCTTAACTACCTTGCTCACAGAAAGATGAAAACCTAAATTTGCCTCCTTACCCTAGAGCCGATTAGTAATTATCCAGATGGAATCCAGATGCCCCAGACTCCTCCAGCCTTCAGGAGTCCTGCGGTACACAAGTAACGAACCCCACTCTTATACCAGGTCCCTAAGTATTTGAATCCCCAAGGAATGGCCTGTGCTCCACCAGTCTGTCTTAGATGTTTTTGGCTCTCTGAATCTGCCTGTCTCACCACTCCTGCCACGGGGAAACCCTTGTACTGCTGAACCTCATGGCACAGTTGAGACCAGACAAGACTGTTTAGTGAGACTTGTTCCCAGGGTCCCCTACTGAGCAAATCTCATGGCAACTTCCAGCCAGGTTGCAGTGATCAGTTTACCCCTCCACCTTCCCCACTGTGAGCCCACCACCTCCAGAGTCAGTCTCAACAACTTCGACACTCCCAGAAGGTAGACCCTATTTGCAGAGATGTAGTCACCCAAGGGGAAGTGATGTGAGCTGATTAGCACCTCATGTCTCTCCATTTCTGGATAGGATCTTGGCTTTACCATTGCAAAACCAAAGAGCCCATTAATTAAGGCCCTCCTCCTCTACAGAAACTTGCAAACTGCATAGCAAGCCTCAGCCAGGGCCTCATTACACAAACACACAATCACATTGAAAATATTACCTTTTTAAAAATATATATATAAACTAATAATTTCTAAAGAGAATACATTTGGGACAAAGGCATTTCTTCGCTTGTTCGGAATCTAGACTCACCGTGGGAGGACCTTGCTTTAACTCTTAAAAGCACAGTGTGTTAACTCTCATTTTATCACCTGGGTCTTCCTTCTGACCGGTGAAGGAATTCTGAGAATTATTTTTACTATAAGAATCTGTGGAAATCTCTCAAGATCCAGTACTGTTGGGTTTGAAACCATGAATTGACAATTTTAAGACACACTGAAAACTGGCTCTAATGGTTAGTGTTATTTTAAAAAACATATACACAACTTTGGACTTGTGTGAATGTAACTGACACTGATGAACATGTCCAGTGTCTTCCTGGTAGAGGTGAGCTGGAGAATGAAAGAACCCAGATACCATAGGGACCTACAAGAAGGGAAATGAAGGTGTGGTTTTGGTGCCTGGCTTCAAAGGCTAGTGGCAATCATGAACCTAATCTGTCTCTTTCCAGCTAGACCAATTTTCTGTAAAGACAGAAAAACCCCAGACAGCCAAACTTCCCCTGCAAAAATGTTAATTTAACAATGTCCCAGTTTCCAAGCTATCTGCAGCTGATTTTTATAAGCGCACTGATAACCCAGGCACCAGCAGGGTGAGGAAATGGCTAGTGTGCCAAAGCTTAGGCTCCCCAGCTCGGGGTCTAAGTCTTCCTTCTTTTCCCTGAAGTTCCAGCTCCTTGATGAACTTATGTTTACTCATTCCATTATTATTAAGGACAGAAATGAATAGACTAGAAAAGAGGTTCTTTTTTTTTTTCCCCATCCCAATAAATCATCCAGTAAATAGCACTGAACAGCCTCCAATCTTGATAGCTGGTTGCACATATGAACTCTGCTGTGTAAAATCAGCTAGTTCACGTTTTCTTGGTTCTCAGATCCTCTTGATAGCAGATCTCTTCCTTTGTGTGCCCAGCCCAGGGCACAGGCCCAGCAACTTCTCTCTGCTGCCTCACACAAACTGCATCAGACATACACATTCCACCTATTAGCATCCATTGTGGGAGGGGGGGTGTTAATAGAGACGGTAAACTCACTAAAAAAGTATCTAGACAGATTCAGATTCTAGACTTAAAGGACCTGCCACCTTAGGCTAAGTTTATGAAAATTATAAATATCGATTAAGAGCTAAATTCCTCTTTTAAACAAAATGGTTCTTTCTGAGATCCAGATTGACTAATTACTCCCCATAACTAATTTGCTCTGAGAGTCAAAGCCTCCTAGAGTATATATGAAGCTCCTTTGTGTTCAAACGCTTGGGGGGCGGGTAGGATCACTGCCTCACAAGGCAGCCTGTTTCAAATTTTTGACAACCTGTGGAGTTACAAAGTTCCTCCTTATACTGAGTCCAAATGACCTCCTATAGCTTTCACCAATTTGGTCTTGGATCTACGCTCTGGAGAGACACAAAATAAACCTAATCCTTCTACTAGACAGCTAATCTCTTTATATGATTCTCTTAAAAGAAATTGTGGTGACTCAGGCTACAATTCTATCAAGGGTATAATAAACCCAATACCTTCCCCCTCCTCCTCCTTTTAGTGGCAGAGTGAGCTTATGTGAGTATACTTAACATGCTGGGAGAAGGGAAAATGCTCCTCTCTGGCAGGCCCCAGTGCTACAGGCCAACTCAAGATTCCAGTCTGGAGGCTGCCTATGGGCAATCAGAAATGGATGAGAGTCTCACAAAAGGTAGTGCTGGACAGGCAGGATCCTTCAGATTTTTCTCTGTTACAACCCACAGCCTTCTGCTGGCTAAAGTGCATGTCTAGCAGGGATTCTCCTTTTAGCCTGGATCAGGGGTCCTGGGTTCTCAATCTTTTGTGTGCATTAGAACCCGGGGAGTTTTCCATAGGGCCCACCCCTTGAGATTTTGATTAGTAGAAATGAGGCAGGCCTAGTAATCTGTATTTTAACAAGCACTCCAGGTACTGATGTCCTTTCTACACTGATCTGAATGAAGAAAAAAAAGATGAGCCAAAAAATACCTCGTATTTTGGCTTTATTTAACCAGAAAGCACACACACTTATAACATTTAACTTATTGGTCCTATCCATTTAAACAAAATTATTAAATTTCATGTTATATAAATAATAAAAATAATACTTCATCGTTTATTATTCATCTGGTACTAATCATTAAGTCTATCAGAATTCTTCCAGAATAAGGAGAGGACTGGTAGCATCATCTGCAGGTTACAGACTGATAAACTGAAGTTTTGGGGGAAGCATTTAACATCGGCCTTCAGAAGGGAGCCAGGCTCCTGCACTGCAGCCTAGTCCTGTCTCGGGCTGGCCAACAGAACAGGGTGGAGGACCAGCTTTGAGGAACTCTACAGGGAGAGTACGTTTTGGTCTAACACTTAGCTGATCAACCTCGTGATTGAAGTTAACACAAAAATCACACCTGGATAAGCACCACCACACGTATGCTATGCAATTTTGTGGGAATTTTAATAAAGCTAAAGAGGGCTTCTAGCACACAGGTTACAACAAGTTAAAACGTTTCACAGTAGTCTAAGTACCTGGGAAGTTTAATTATGCAAAGAAAACCCTCTTTCCTTTGAGAACAACGCTTATTTCTTTTCAAAATAGCTGCTGTGGTTCTTTTACAAATATAAAGGGTGTCTCATCTCTAACTCAGCCTTGAAGTAATGCTGTCCCAAAGCAGCCCTGGTGACCTTGTTTCCTTGTGGCAAAGTAAACCCATGTCCTACCCAGTAATTTAGCACTTAGTAAACTGACTCAAAAAGTTGAGCAGGAAATTTAGTAAAAGGTTTTGGTGATAGGAACTTACTTTCCTCCTAAGACACTTCATGCATATTTGTTGCAAAATAAACTTATTTTAGAATAAAAGTAGCAAAGGCATCTAACTTTCATTTTCTGTCAGGGATGAAGACTTTCACTGGTTGGCTGACCTTCCTCTTCTTCCTGGAGCTCTCAGAACTTTGCTGACTGTACACAAAATTCATTCTTTGAATCTGTGAGAATCATCAGAGATAGGCACAATTCAGCAGAGATTTTGACGTCTGCACAAGGCATATACAAGACAGGTAGACCAAGCATTAATCCCTCTTGCTGCATAACCAATCTAAATCGGCTTTCCTGTGGGCTGGTTTAGCCCTGCACAGAGGCCCTGCTGCCAGTATCAGAGTCTGGAATTCAAAGTTTCAGGAGCTGAGGCCCCTGGATGCAGCCAGTTTCAGGGACAATTTCTTGGCTCTCTTTAGTGAATTCAGCACATGCAGCTCTTGAGAGAAGAGTTGTCAAGGTGTGGGGCCAACAAGGGGCAATTAAGGGTCAGGAGAGATCTAGGGCACTGGCTGGTTTAGAGGCAAATAGAATTGAAGTCCCTTTTCAGTTAGCAGAAACATACAGCCTTATTATTATTATTATTATTTTAATCGTAGGTTCAGATTAATGAATTAGGAAGCACCATGGCCCTTCTTTCTGCTTGATGAGACTTATATGTTATTGATTTAAGACAAGTTGATTAGTGAATCATCATAGACATATATTTCTCCATTGGGCTCAGCTTTGGTAAAGATTTTAGAATTTATATTTGCTTAACTGAGTGAACAACCAGATGTCAGACAATTCCTAATGCCTGGAATTCCAAGAAACACATGGAGGGCATTTTTATATTTTCCAGCCACTAGATGGGAGGAAAGGTTTTTCCATGTTCTCTGTTCTTTCTTTGGAGGAAAATGGAATAAGATATATGTTTTTAAGCAAGACTTAGAATATCTAGTAGAGGTTCCAACATTATTCTTTTTTTATTTTGTTATAGATACAGGTTATTATTATTGACATGTTTTTACTACAAAATAGTGGAAATGTCATTAAAGCATTTAAGTACCATTTAGAACCAAAGATTGGGTCTACAAATGGCTAATTTAATCACTAACTTTTCGTTTTAGAAAGTAGTTGAATTTCTGATCTCAGAAACCACAAATTCCCTTTGGCTTAAACCAAGACATTGACTATATAGAGCAGTAAAACTCTGAGAATATAAGTAGAGCTGCTTTTCAAGTAACTGGTTTGCTTAGATATGCAAAGTTTGAAATGGTCTGCTCTAAAGGAAAGGAAATAGCAACATAAAAACCCAAAGCACAAAAACCAACTTCTGCATCTAGGAGATGAATTTTTTACAGTGTAGCTGTAAGAAAAAGTACTTGGTAAAATTCAGCTTTTTAAAAAATGTTGCTTGGGCATGCTTTCTATTCAAATGAAATTATCCTCACTTCTGTCAAGTCTGGATACACTGGGAAGAAAACAAGATGGGTGTACAAGTTGGTCTGATGGTTTAATAGTGTTTTTCTCTTTTTCTTCTTTGCTCAAAAGTAAACCAGAGTTTTATTACAAGTTTCAGAGCTGTAATTTTATTACAGTGAGTTCATCAGAACATCTTTAATAATGTATACAATCTCAGGGCAACCAGTGAGGTCTGGGAAGTCTCACTGGTTTATAGAAAACTAGTGGGTTCGAAAGCAAGTGCGTGATCAGTCAGGGGATACTTCCTAACATAGATCAATAGTCCATATTCTGAACTATATAAACCAACAAATTTATCCATAGAAAGCAACATGTTTTTGAGAAACATTTTCCAGGTGTGTTCTAACTGGCTGAGTTTGCACCTTTGATGCCAAAGCCACCCAGGCAAGCATTCCCCTGGAGATGTCCAAGTTAAAAACCTGGGAGTTGAGGGAGACCTTCAAGATGGCAGAGGAGTAAGATGTGGAGATCACCTTCCTCCCCACAAATACATCAGAAATACATCTACATGAGGAACAACTCCTACAGAACACCTACTGAACGCTGGCAGAAGACCTCAGACTTCCCAAAAGGCAAGAAACTCTCCACGTACCTGGCCATGTGGCTGACAGGGTCTTGGTACTCTGGCTGGGTGTCAGGCCTGTGCCTCTGAGGTGGGAGAGCCGAGTTCAGGACATTGGTCCACCAGAGACCTTCCAGCTCCATGTAATATCAAACAGCGAAAGCTCTCCCAGAGATCTCCATCTCAATGTTAAGACCCAGCTCCACTCAACAACCAGCAAGCTACAGGGCTGGACACCCTATGCCAAACAACTAGCAAGACAGGAACACAACCCCACCCATTAGCAGAGAGGCTGCCTAAAATCATAATAAGGTCACAGACACCCCAAAACACACCACCGGACGCAGTACTGCCCACCAGAAAGACAAGATCCAGCCTCATCCACCAGAACACAGGCACTAGTCCCCTCCACCAGGAAGCCTACACAACCCACTGAACCAACCTTAGCCACTGGGGGCAGACACCAAAAACAACAGGAACTACAAACCTGCAGCCTGTGAAAAGGAGACCCCAAACACAGTAAGTTAAGCAAAATGAGAAGACAGAGAAACACACAGCAGATGAAGGAGCAAGGTAAAACTGCAGAAATACAAAGGATCATGAGAGATTACTACAAGCAACTATATGCCAATAAAATGGACAACCTGTAAGAAATGGACAAATTCTTAGAAAAGCACAACCTTCTAAGACTGAACCAGGAAGAAACAGAAAATATAAACAGACCAATCACAAGCATTGAAATTGAGACTGTGATTAAAAATCTTCCAACAAACAAAAGCCCAGGACTAGATGGCTTCACAGGCGAATTCTGTCACACATTTAGAGAAGAGTTAACACCTATCCTTCTTAAACTCTTCCAAAATATAGCAGAGGGAGGAACACTCCCAAACTCATTCTGTGAGGCCACCATCACCCTGATACGAAAACCAGACAAAGATGTCACAAAGGAAGAAAACTACAGGCCAATGTCACTGATGAATATAGATGCAAAAATCCTCAACAAAACACTAGCAAACAGAATCCAACAGCACATTAAAAGGATCATACACCATGATCAAGTGGGATTTATCCCAGGAATGCAAGGATTCTTCAATATACGCAAATCAATCAATGTGATACACCATATTAACAAATTGAAGGAGAAAAACCATATCATCATCCCAATAGATGCAGAAAAAGCTGTTGACAAAATTCAACACCCATTTATGATAAAAACCTTCCAGAAAGTAGGCGTAGAGGGAACTTACCTTAACATAATAAAGGGCATATATGACAAACCCACAGCCAACATCATTCTCAATGGTGAAAAACTGAAGCCATTTCCTCTAAGATCAGGAACAAGATAAGGTTGTCCACTCTTACCACAATTATTCAACATAGTTTTGGAAGTTTTAGCCACAGCAATCAGAGAAGAAGAAGAAATAAAAGGAATCCAAATCGGAAAAGAAGAAGTAAAACTGTCACTGTTTGCAGATGACATGATACTATACATAGAGAATCCTAAAGATGCTACCAGAAAACTACTAGAGCTAATCAATGAATTTGGTAAAGTAGCAGGATACAAAATGAATGCACAGAAATCTCTTGCATTTCTATACACTAATGATGAAAAATCTGAAAGAGAAATTAAGGAAACACTCCCATTTACCATTGCAACAAAAAGAATAAAATACCTAGGAATAAACCTACCTAAGGAGACAAAAGACCTGTATGCAGAAAACTATAAGACACTGATGAAAGAAATTAAAGATGATACAAACAGATGGAGAGATATACCATGTTCTTGGATTGGAAGAATCAACATTGTGAAAATGACTATACTACCCAAAGCAATCTACAGATTCAATGTAATCCCTATCAAACTACCACTGGCATTTTTCACAGAACTAGAACAAAAAAATTCACAATTTGTATGGAAACACAAAAGACCCCGAGTAGCCAAAGCAATCTTGAGAAAGAAAAACAGAGCTGGAGGAATCAGACTCCCTGACGTCAGACTATGCTACAAAGCTACAGTAATCAAGACAATATGGTACTGGCACAAAAACATAAATATAGATCAATGGAACAGGATAGAAAGCCCAGAGATAACCCCATGCACATATGGTCACCTTATCTTTGATAAAGGAGGCAAGAATATACAATGGAGAAAAGACAGCCTCTTCAATAAGTGGTGCTGGGAAAACTGGACAGCTACATGTAAGAGAATGAAATTAGAACACTCCCTAACACCATACACAAAAATAAACTCAAAATGGATTAAAGACCTAAATGTAAGGCCAGACACTATCAAACTCTTAGAGGAAAACATAGGCAGAACACTCTATGACATAAATCACAGCAAGATCCTTTTTGACCCACCTCCTAGAGAAATGGAAATAAAAACAAAAATAAACAAATGGGACCTAATGAAACTTCAAAGCTTCCGCACAGCAAAGGAAACTATAAACAACATGAAAAGACAACCCTTAGAATGGGAGAAAATATTTGCAAACGAAGCAATGACAAAGGATTAATCTTCAAAATATACAAGCAGCTCATGCAGCTCAGTATCAAAAAAACAAACAACCCAATCCAAAAATGGGCGGAAGACCTAAACAGACATTTCTCCAAAGAAGATATACAGATTGCCAACAAACACATGAAAAGATGCTCAACATCACTAATCATTAGAGAAATGCAAATGAGGTATCACCTCACACTGGTCAGAATAGCCGTCATCAAAAAATCTACAAACAATAAATGCTGGAAAGGGTGTGGAGAAAAGGGAACCCTCTTGCACTGTTGGTGGGAATGTAAATTGATACAGCCACTATGGAGAACAGTATGCAGGTTCCTCAAAAAACTAAAAAATAGAACTACCATACAACCCAGCAGTCCTACTACTGGGCATATACCCTGAGAAAACCATAATTCAAAAAGAGTCATGTACCACAATATTCATTGCAGCTCTATTTACAATAACCAGGACATGGAAGCAACCTAAGTGTCCATCGACAGATGAATGGATAAAGAAGATGTGGCACATATATACAATGGAATATTACTCAGCCATAAAAAGAAACGAAATTGAGTTATTTGTAGTGAGGTGGATGGACCTAGAGACTGTCATACAGAGTGAAGTAAGTCAGAAAGAGAAAAATA